AGCTGGAAAAGAGGTCAAGAAAGGGAGAGGGGGTGGGTACATGGTAAGCAATTATAGGAACTTTTATAACTTGGAACGGCTGAAGAGTAAGCTCAAGCAGTTCGTTTCAATGTACATGGAAGTAGAACAACTTATGAGACAACCCGGTTTTGGCTGGGATGAGGCTAGTCGAATGGTGACTATTGAACTAGCACTATGGTCTCAGTGTACAACGGTGAGTTGAAACACATTGTTATCTATTTCTTTGTGGATTTGCAAGTTTGAGTGCGCTGTTCACACAAATACAATATATACGTGTGCTCTATTTACAGGAGTTTAGTTTTGTGAAATAGTACAAAGGCAAGTCTTTGCCTGTATACTTCAATGAATTTGAGAAGATATTTGGCACTGAAGCAGGGGATGGTTCGAATTGAAGCCATATAAAAGGGGATAAAATAGGTGTTGATGTCTTCCTAAAGGCGTCTTGGCACTTCAAGACTATCTTCCCAGGCATCCAGTCTTCGCTTTCATTATAGTTCTAATTGTTACCTTTTTCCTTTTTAATGTTGAAAACAATATGGGACAAGCACCAATGCCTGAGTGGTGAATGTATGTCACTAGTTGTGTTCAAGCTATTACACGTTATTGTTGAATGAGCTGGTGTCTTACTGATTGTATATGGATGCATGAATTGTGAATGTGTATTTATATGTTTTGCTTAAGCTATTACAGGTTATTGTTGAATGAGATTTTTTTTTTGAGGTTGGGATATGGATGCATGAGTGGTTAATGTATGTCACTAAGTTGTGTTCAAGTTATTACATATTATTGTTGAATGGGTTGATTTTATATATGGTTGTATATGGATGCATGAATTATGAATGTGTGATTGTATGTTTCGCTCAAGCTATTACAGGTTATTGTTGAATAAGAATTTTTTAGAGGTTGAGATATGGATGCATGACTGGTAAATGTATGTATTAGATGGCTTATTGGTTTGACACACCCAAGTAATTTCATGGTGGTTGGTTCCTTTACTACTACTTGGTGGTTGGTTCCTATATTACTATTTGACAAATTATTAGGCTTCTGCGAAAAATTGTCAAATTATTGGGCAAATAATAGCACAATCCAATAGAATACAGGAAGCCATATCCATAATTGCCATGACCGGCGAAAGATATGAAGTATGCATGTGTTTGTATGTGTGTGTGTGTGTGTGTGTGTGTGTGTGAGAGAGAGAGAGAGAGAGAGAGAGAGAGAGAGAGAGAGATTCGGTTTAAGAAGAAAAGCATCGACTACCTAGTTATGAGATTTAAACACCTATTTCCTTTGATAATAGTAAAAAGACTCAACAAATTATAAACCCACAATAGTCAAGAAAATACATTCATTTCAATTTTAAGTTGGTGGATTCGGAAACTAGTGACTTGGTTTGCAATTACAAGTTTTGAGACATATTATGAAGAAACAATATTAACTCTTTTGTTATGGTGATATATCAAAATATGAAATAAGTTGATAATAATCATAATAGTAATACTATCAACTTTGTAACGCAATTAAGAGAGTAAGAATGTCATAAATTTCCTTCATAAATCTTCTCCATATCACTTAAAAAATGTATAAACAGTTCAAACTAGGTTGACAGTTCTCCAGTTTAGAAGTTCTAGGGTGAATCAAATACAACTACCCATAACTTCTTCAACATTTTAACAGATAATCAAACACAGTACCCATAACTTTCTTAATATTTCAACAGGTTATCAAACACAATACCCAAAACCTATTTAAACCTTCCAAGAGAAAACAATCAACTTTCCAGAAAATAACTTTCAAAAAAACAAACATATCATAAGGGAGACCTTACATCTCATGCACAGAGGCAAAGGCCCTACCCCCCTCTTTCTTTGGAGGAAGCACACTTTCTCTCTCTCTATTGGAGCCACTTTAAATAGAAAAAGCAACTCTCCATAAAGTAGTACGTGAGGCTTTTCTTTTCTATAACTTTTAGGACTTCTAACTTTATCTCATTAAATATGAGCTCTCATGACCATCCTAATCTAATAGACATTATCCCAAATAACCAACTCCTAGAGAATATCTAATTGGTTAATAGCAAGCCCACATAATATGGGATTCTTTTATGTGGTTGATTTTGGATTGCACTAAATCCAACAATATCATCCCACCAAACATAGGTTTGAGACATGTTTCCATTTTACTTTAATAGGTTTGAGACATGTTTCAATTTTACTCTAATATCTAACAGATAATCTACTTAGCATCCTAGTTAGCAATTCGGCGATTAAGTGGCGAATTTTTCGAAAAGTCGGTGAATTTTTTGTGAATGTTTTTAATGTCGTTTTTTTTAAAAGCTCATCCAAAAAACGGGTATTTTTCATAATACCGTTCAAAACGCGATTTTTTGAAAAAAGAATACAATAGGTCCAAAAAGACGTCTTTGAAAAAATGAAAAGGGCCATGTTTCTCTCTCTAGAACCTTTGTGAAAAAAATGGTCTTATCTTAACAGAATTAAAAAACTCTCGATACGAATTAGTGAATCCGAAAATTTATAGAGAGAGAAGGGGGAACTGCTATCAAACCTCTGTGAAAAAGCCCTGCTCAAATCTGGGCACTCCCTCTGCCCCTTCACAAAGAACTCTATCAAATCTATGTGAAAAAATGGTTTGATGGAGCTTTAAAGTGGCTTTAATGGTGGCTTTTGAGTCTTGCACTGGTTTTATATTACAGTGCTTCGAATTTGCATCAATGGCAGATCTTGAGGTTCCAAGAAGGGGAGTGGGTGATGAAGTTGCATATAAGCTAGATCAAGCCCGAAAAGAACCATTTTGAGCTCTAATGGACTTGAATCTTTTTCACTCTTTGGAACCTTAGAATCTTTTCTGCAAAATTCAAATTCAAAGCTTAATCCAAAGAGGATTTTGAGAAATCTAACTTAGCCAAAAGAAGAAAAATAAAGGAAATTGGTTTTTCTTCTTCAAAACCCTCCATAAACCTGAATTGGGTTTCTTCTTCAAAACCCAAGATAAAGTTGGGTTTCTTCTTGAAGTCCCTCTCTCTCAAAAAAATACTTCAGCTTTTGCCTCTCATCTTGGATCAGGAATTATGGTATCTTTCCCATAATCAATCCCAGTAAGATAAAGTTGAGGTTTCTTAGTAGTGTTAATCGTCTCTCTTTAAAAAAATGGTTTGATTTTTCACAGAGGTTTGATCTGAAAATTAGAGAATTTAGAGAGAGAAGGAGGAACTGCTATCAAACCCTGTAATATTTCGGCTTGATCTAGCTTCTCTTTATATGGTCTATTTTTTTGGAAAAATTACAACCCCCCCCCCCCCCAAGTATACTATCTATGCAACTTAACCCCGAGCTAACCTTTCCTCTCGCTTTTTTCCCCTTAAAAACCTCCAAGGTAAAATGTTGTTATTTTTTGGACAGAAATGTCCTTCCCGTACAAAAAAAAAAGTCAATGGACGGTCCCAAGTAGCGTATTATCAGAGCGATCAATTTAACCGCCGGAGCGATGTGGCTCCAGAAGGTGTACTGTTGGAGCGCTTGTCTTCATTGCCGGAACGACCTATTCAACTGCAGGAGCGCTGTGGCTTCAAAACGTGTACCGCTGGAGCGAGTCCTTGCATTGCTCGAGCGCTTGTCCTCATTGTTAGAGTGACCTATCCAACCGTCGGAGTGCTTTGGCTCCATAAGGTATACTGCCGAAGCGAGTCCTTGCATTGTCGGAGCGTATGTCCTCATTGCCGAAGCGTTTAAATGGACTGCCGGAGCGCACAAGGAGAGAGTCATGGGTAAAAGCCATGAGGAGAGAAAGGGGGGTAGTTTAGTCTTCTTTTTTTTTTTTCTTTTTTTTTAGCTGGGGGGTTTTTGCAAAGAAAGGTGGTCGCGGGGAAAAAAGTGAGAGGCAAGGTTAGCTGGAGGTAAGTTGCATAGACAATATACTTTGGGGGTTGTAATTTTCCCTATTTTTTTTAAATGTATTTAAGTAGGTTTGATATGGTGTATTTTTTTTATATGTATTTATCCGATTTTTTTAACCTAGTCTGATATATTGGCGATATCTTTACATGAAGTATTTTTGTCAATCCGTTTTTTTTATCCGATTTTTTTATTCGATTTTTTAAAATAAAAACGAATTTTTTCTAATTTTAAGGTAAGCCGATTTATTGAAAGTCCTCGGCTTGCTAACTATGCTTAACATATATAATTGTCATTGTCTTTTTTTTCTCAATTATCCCCGTGATTCATGAAGATAATATATATAAAAAAAAAGAAAAATATATAAAAATATTATTTGCTTTTCGTACAAAGAGATCACATTCACTCTTGTCGGTTAGATTTTAAATTGGGTGATTGTATGAGTGTTATTGACTAGACTCAAAAAATAAAAATTACAAAAAAAAAGAAAAGAACTCTTTAATTTTATGACAGACAAGTTAATCTAATTTGCCATATAATAACACAAAATAATTGTGACCTCCTTATGACAAAGATAAATAGTAAGAATATATAATCCCTAAAAAAAATTACTACTAAAACAACTAGAACTAGACTCCATGTGTGTTAAAGAAAATTGCTACAACAACTACTAGAACTACATTCCATGTGTTAAAGAAAATTACTACTAGAACTAGATTCCGTATGCGTTTTGCGTCTTAACTCAGGTTCCATTGGGCACAGGAGCTCAAATCCCAAACTAAATCAAAAACTCTCTCTTTTACCATGTATTACAAGTTAGATTTCAAGGTTCTTTTTCACATTCCTTTTTTCCCCTTTTTGCATTAATTCCTACTGGCAACTGCCCTTATACATGATAGAATTTCAAACTGGTTAATGCTTTTAAAACAATTTCACATTTCCCCATGTTTGTTTTGCAACCAACAAAATGTTTGTGAGGAATGATAAAGGATCAAAACCCTAATCCAGGCTGATCTGGTCTAGTAACAATGGTTCTGCAATTCAAGAAATAGGACCAGAGAGAGAGAATCAGCAGGAACAGTACCAACAATAAATAAGTATACCATTGTTCCATAGAATAAGCCAGGTAAAATACACAAACGAAAGAAAGAGCACAGAAACCTAGAGAGAGAGGAAGAAGAAAGCACTAAATTGAGAGTTTCTTGTCCATTCAAAGTGGCAGGACCTTTTTCACAATATCCTGGCTGAGGGCTGCAATCTGGGAGTCTAGGGCCTTGATGGTCTCCTCCTTCTGACGCTCCAAATTTTCGAGGGCCACCGCGAGCTCAGCCTCCACCTTCTTCCGCCCCTCAGCCATCTTCACCTCCAAATCCAACGCCACCTCCCTCTTCATCTGATTCAGGGCCGCCGATATCTCTGCCCTTGCCGCCTTCATCACGGCAGCTGCCTGCTCCTCCAACTGCTTCACCTCCCCGGATGTGTCTTTCACGCTGTTTAGTTTCTCCCTTATAGCTGCGTCTCTGTCATCCATGAATTTTCCCAGTGGGGCGAAGTATATTTTGTCTAGGGCAACCATTAGGAACAGAAATTCGGCAACGATGATGGGGAGAGTGAGGTTGAAGTCGAAGAGTCTGGCTTTCTCCATTTCGGCGAGGGCGGGACGAGCGGAAGTCAGCGCCGCTAAGATGGCAGCGCCACTAGTTTTAGCGATGGTTGATAGTAAGGTCCTTCTCTCGCTTAATATAGCGGTGGTGGTGGTGGTGGTGGTGGTGGTGGTGGTGGGTGGGGGGGGAGTTGGGGGAGTCTGGGTTTGGTGGTGAGGGAGGAGGGGATTGTGGTGGGGAGTTTTGCGATGAGAATGTTGGTCGCCATGGCCATGGCCATGGCTGTGCTCTCTCTCTCTCTCTCTCTAAATTTTTGGTAGATTTGTTTCTCTCTGAACTTCTATCTCTCTTCGAATCGGATTTCGGGTTAGAGTTTCAGAGATCGTGAGTAAAGGAAAGGAAGCCTATCCGTTTCGACCTCTCTCCTTACCACACATATGTGCGTCTCCAAAGTTTTAGCAAATTGCGGCCTATTATTTCATCATCTCTTTCTAATGGTAGCTGGTTAAAATCAAACCGGAACAGTTAACTGGGCCTGGGGCATGGAATCGGTTTAACCAGCTTAACTGGTAAATTGATTGATTTAACCATTTTAATCAAACAAGTTAATCAATTTAACCATTTTAATCAAACAAGTTAATCAATTTAACCATTTTAATCAAACAAGTTTTGGGTAGTCAAAAAAGTATTAAAAAATAAAAAGGATAAAAAAAAAATACTACTAAAATATGAAAAACATATAAAAAATGATTAAAACAATAGATTTTAACCAATAAAATAAGTATTTTTAATTTTTACTATAATGTAAAGAATATTAAAAATACGCTATAAACTAAATTTTTTATTTTTTGAAATTTATATATCGTTTTTTAGTTTTTTTTTTTTAAATACCGATCGATCACCGCAACCGCTCGATCTAACAAAGTGGTTAGCGGTAGATCACCCAGTTTTTCTAACATTGTCCTATGTTCCGTTATTACCTTCTCTCTTTATTGTTAGCTCTAATGCAAAAAAAACATTGTATCCTTTATAATTTCTTGTTTTCTTATCCTAAATGATAAATAATAATAAGAATAAAACAAAATTATAAAAACTTAGAACTTAAAAAGAAAGATTATATTCGTGATCAAGACTGCCCCTAGAACTTAATCGGGCATTAGCATATCGCAGATTCAACTTGGATGCGGAGTATCGGACTTGCCTTGAGTGGTTCTGTGGGTAGGGCCGGTGGCCAGTTGGTCGGACCTTGAAAAATTAGGGCTAGAGTCACAAGAAGTAGGGCAAAGACACGGCAGGTCTGGTTCGGCTTAATCCGATCTTTTTTTTTGTTTTTTTTTTATTCTCTTTTTTTTTCTTGGTTCGTATTTGGGCGCACCTTAAGCGGACCTAATAGGGCTTGGGCCAGGGCCTCTTCGGCCTGGTCAATACCGGGCTGGGCTCGGGTCATCAGTACAAGGACGAGGGCCGTGCTAAAGTCCCGTCTAGCCCGGCCCATTGCCAGCCCTACGGTTGGGGATTTGCGGTAGGCGATTCCAGTTTGAAGAACCTCGAAATGACATTTACTCGTGTTTTACTTTTAGTTCTCTAGAATTAGAATGACCCTTTTATCGTATAATTAGGTGGGCGAGCCACCAATGTATGACAGGTGATTTTTCTATCATAATATTTTCAACTCTATCTTTTAATGAATAATTTTTGAAGGAAGGAAAACATCGGCTAAATGGTCAAATTAGCAGTCAATATTGTTAAGTGGTCAAATATTAGTAGCGTTTTTTTTTAAATTTCATTTCACTCGAGTGATTTTTTGAAAAATTAAAACAAAATACCAATTACCCTTGTTTAGAGTGGGAACCTTATGTTGGGATATTCTGGTACTTAAGAGGTCCAGCCAAAAATATAAAAATAATTCTGATTGTTTAGGATTAGTACGAAACTGCCAAATGATGGAAGTTAACAACTTTGAATTCATGTTTTTTTTTAAATTTTATTATTTACTTATTTATTTATTTAATAGTAAACCCATATTTCATGTTCCTAACCCTATGCAACCAGGGGTATTATTATTTAGGTCAGCCTACTTAAGGGAGGCTACAATGCCCCTCTTTGTTTAGGATTCTAAATTTTAAATATGGGTAATTTGATTGTTTTGTGAGGTGCTTGAGTCAAATGATATTTTAAAAGGCAACACTGCTAAAGTTAAATGGAATGATTGGAGTGCCATAAATAATTTTATAAAAGCATTTGACCATTCACTTGATATCTTCTTGAAAATTTGTTTTAAGCTCTTCAACCCCAGAATTATGTTCCTTTAACAGGTGTTAAATCGAAGGAAAATTGACTTGGAGCGTCTGAAGTTTTCTTTCTTAAAATTAATGTTTGGGAGTTTGTTATTTTAGTTGATATTGGTAGTCACAAAAGAGATGAATAGTTTTGCATAAAATGCTCGAGTGCGATTTTGGGGCTAAATCGCCTTGAGACTAGAGCACTTAACATGTATATCAAGAGAAGTATTGTAGTTAGTGTTATCAAGATTGGATCAGCTACTAAATTGATGAGGGGTCGCGTCTGGTTTAAAGCAGTCCAACTGATTGAACTCGTTTAGCCTTATTTAAAAAATAAAAAACTATAATAATAGTTTAAATATTAAATATATTAAAAAGTTTTCTAATTTTATTTAGCTGATTGAACAAGTCAAAATTGACTCATTTGACAGGATGTCGAACATTAATTTTGATTAGCTTTCAACTGCACATTAGTTTTGCTTTAAACTAGACCTGCGAAGAGACTGGTCATCAGTTGATAGATCAAACTGGTCAATCAAGTCCATCTCGATAAGTATCACTATGATCCAAAGAACATAAAATCATAAACAGAAAAATGGAAGTCAGGACTCCTGATAGAGTTGAAGAGACCAAAGGGGAGGTGGGGTCTATGCTAGAGGCAGAGGTTTGAAGATGCTCATAAAAAAATTTATACCCCATTTCCTTCTAAGCCAAAGAGTCAAAGTTGGAGTCCCCTGATATTCGTTTTTTCTTGTCCTTCTGGGGAAGGGGACCTTTCTAATTCTCCTTTGTGCTTTCTGTTAGTGTTTCTAGATGCCTTTTATCTATCTGGGACCCATCATATGTTAAAGGGTCCAATTTTGTGTTCCATAATAGAATATTATCTGAATGTTTTGAAAACTTGGTAAATAGTGAAAATTGATGCTTATCTTCTATGTATGGACCTAACTCTCCTGCTAATAAACAAGACTTTCTTGTGGATTTGGGTAATTTTTTATTTCTACTACTATACCTTGGGCTGGAGCTGGTGAATTCACCATGATAAGGTGACCAACATAGTCAATCTCCCAAAATAATATTACTCCGCATAGGGGGCACTTTAATGAACTTATTCGGCAGCGGGAAGTTATTAATTTTCCTGTTGTTGGTGTTGATTTTACTGGTATAATAATTCAACCATTAACCTGTTAATGTCTAGAGTTGATCACTTTTTAGTTAGCCCCTTATGGAGGCGATGTTGGTGGTTAGAGCACTCACTTCTGACCATGTGCTGTTGGTGCTAGACATAGAAGAGGCTGATTTTGGCCCATCACCATTTGGATTTGAGTTGATGAGGCTAGAGGATAGATCGATTCCAAAGATAGTTACATAAATATGGCAAAACACTCAACTCCAAGGTTGGAGGGGGGTATGCTTTTGCAAAGAAGTTGCAAGTTCTAAAGGCCAGATTAAAAGAAATGTAATCTTAGGGATGAGCTGGATTATCTCCTTAAATTGGATGACATTTTATAGTACCAACAGTAAAGAGGTAGGCAATAACTCAAACTACATAGCCATTGTGAACTTTAGAATAAGGAAGAATGATGTTCAAGGTACAAATTTAAGGAATTCATTTTGATGATTTGAAGGGCAAGGAGGCTGTTGTGGAGTTTTTCAGAAAGGCCTTGACTTCACAACAGAGATTAGACTTTTCTTCGGACTGAATTCCTTTTAAGAAGCTATCTGAGGAGCAAGATAATCTCCTGGAACAACCATTTTCTTTGGAAGAGATCAAAGAGGCGTCTTTTAGTCTACCAAAAGGCAGAGTGCAGATAGCTACCAACTTGCTTTCTTTCAATCTTTTTGGAGCTTGTTAAGGATCATTTATTTCTCATGTTTCAAGAATTCTACCATAAAGGAAATTTATTCCACGTTTATTGCCTTAATTCTAAAAAAAAAATCTACGGGAACTTTGGCGGATATCAAACATATCAGCCTTCTCACAAGCACTTGCAAGATTATTGCCAAAGTATTAGCTAATAGGCTGAAAAAGGCTTTTGTTTGAGGTTATTTCGGAACCCAAGTCTGCCTTCACAAAGGGTCCACAAATTAATGATAATTTCCTTCTGACACAAGCGACTATCCATTTCAAAATGAGGATTGGCATGTAAGGGCTGATATTTAAGCAAGATTTCGAGAAGGCATATGGCAAAGTTGAGCGGGAGTATCTCCTAGAAGTCAAAAGGCTAATGGATTTCAGAAGCACGTGAAGATCATGGATTTATAGGTGCATCTCGTCAATTCATTTTTCAGGGTTGGTTAATGGCAAAGCTGAAGGCTTTTTCAAGGCCTCTAGAGGCCTAAGATAGGGTGATCCCCTCACACCATTTTTATTCACAATTGTGGCAGAATCATTTAGTCAGATGGCGAAAGCCATGAATGACAAAGGGTTGCTAAATGGTTTTTAAATATCTTCTTGTGGGTCTCGTGTCTTGCATCTTCAATAGGCGGATGACAAGTTATTGTTTTGTGATGTCTCTTTGCAAGAAGCAAAAAACATACGGTTGTTTTGTGATGCCTCTTTGCAATAAAAAAAAAACTGTGGTTGTTCCTAAACTGGTACCAGTTGGTTTCCAGGGTTCAAACTAAAGTTTGAAAAAACCAAACTGATAGGGATCAATTGCCATTGTGCTCGGTTGGAAGAATGGGCATGTTGGACGGGACGTGAAGTTGAGGAGTTCCCGTTTAAGTACTTGGGCCTTCCTTTATGCACTACTAAGCCTCCTAGGGAGGTATGGATTGAAAGATTCCAATACAAGATTGAGTCCTGAAAAACAAATTCCTTTATATGCAGGGAGACTATCTCTACTTAAAGCTACTCTTTCTAACCGCCTTATGTATTCCATGTCTGTCGTTAGAGCTCCTACAAAGGTTATCAGAAGATTAGAAGCATTGATGCATAATTTTCTGTGGAGTGGCTCGAATGAAAGGAAGAAATATTGCTTGATTAGCTAAAAGGTTGTTTGCTTGCCATAAAACAATTGGAGGGCTTGGTATTATATGCTTGCTCTGTTTAAGGATGCACTCTTAACGAAATGGTGGTGGAGAGTAGCGGAGGGACATGAACATTGGTGGATGACCTTGCTAAGAGCTAAGTATGGCTCTGACGGACAAGCACTCTGCATCAAGCTACTAAATTTTAACTCCCATGCCTTCTCATGTGTGGAAGGCAATTGATTAATGCAGGTGACTTTTTCTCAATCACAGTAGAGTACTGGTTGGAGATGGGGCCAAAACTTGGCATCCCAAATGTCTTGGGGACACCCCTCTTAAACTTCGGTTCCCTTTTCTTTTTATAAAGTAAACACTAAGAATTTGTTGGTTATCTGAGGCAGCACTAACTTCTCTGTGGGAGAATGCTCTATGGTATAGGAAAGTAAACAAGGATGCAGTCATATGGGAACTATCGCGTGATGGATGCTACTCGGTTAAATCCATGTATCCTTTCCTAAGTGATAATAGATATTTTTTGCCTTGTTCTGCTACTGGTAAGGTGTGGAAGTTCAAAGTACACCAACAGGTCAGGATGTTCATTTGGCTGACCATAAGGGATCGTATCTTGTCTGCGGAACAACTTCAAAAGAGAGGCTTGATTACCAAAAATATTTGCCTCATGTCTACAGAAGATGTTGTTTTACTTTGCCATGTTGCTCTCTCATTGTGGCATTGGATGTTGAACAATTTTGGCCTGCTTTGGCCAACTTCTTGGTCCGTAGCACAGTTGATTGATGGATCTGCCTCTCCTTTGTTCTCTAAAGTTGCCATTACCTATTTGGCACATTGCAAGCTCAGTTATTCTATGGAACCTTTGGAAAGACATAAACTTGAGAATCTTTTAATGTATAATCGCATTGTTGGAGCAGTTAAAAGACTCTATAATTGCTACAGTGTTTATGTGGGCTCTTGCTTAGAAAGAATATGGAGTAATCCAAAGGACGATATTTTATGTAATATGCATGGCTGCTTAAAAATCATGGCTACCTACACAAGCACAAAGATGGTTTAAACTCAACTTTGATGGTAGCTCCAAAGAGACTGAAGAATTGGTGGGTAATCGAGGTTCTCTTAGAGAGCTCTGTAAAATTTTTCTTACTCTGCACTTTTGCCACCTTGTCCAGCTGCATGTGGAGTAATATTCTCGCCTTCAAGAGACTCACCTGCATTTGAATTATCAGGTCCAAATGGGTCACCATCATTTTGTCCGTTACATTGTCCGGACAGTGATAACACTCGTCTTGATAGCGGTCACTATTTATCAAAACAATCTTTATTTTTTGTAAGGGAAATTAAGAATATTATCTTGGCCCCAAATTTTCTAATTTTATGGGTGTACGACTGTTTTTCCTCTTTTGATATTGTTTTTTAAAATGCCCTTGGTTCATATCTTCAAGTTCCAAATCAATTTTGTTACCTTAATGCCTTTTTGTCAGTTAGGAACTCTAATTTCAGAATAATTTTTTGCTTAAAGTTATGCCGGAAATTAGAGCTCCAAACTTAGATTTTAACATATTTTTGTTCAGAAATCTAAGCACCTAACATAAATTTTAAAAGGTGCGGTTTCTATAAGGTTGCAACCTTAGACAAGCCAATTAGGGTGCAGCCCCAAATCTTATTATAATATATAATTTTGGTGTAAAACATTCTTAGAATTATCTAAAAATCTATTTTCATATTTAATTATAAAATTTTAAACTTCAAAAATAGTTAAAATCATCTATAAACATATGAAAATCTGAAAAATAGACAATCTAAATAATATGTTGCAAGATGCACTATTTCTATGACTCAAAATCTTCTTCTTTTTTACTATTCATACATCTTGATGTTTTTTCACTATTCATACATCTTGATGTCAAGATGATTAATTAGAAGACTTTTCAACATTAAAAGAACATTTTTCAATGAATTTTTGAGGTGCATCTTTAGTTCTACTAGTTGCAACCTTATATAAACTTTTTCTAATTTTAAAAGAACAAAAAAATATTGTGTTTGAAATGTAAAATTTCAAAGAAAACTTATATTTGAAACTTATAATTCCGAACAAAAAGTTGAAACAAAAACTCTTTTTAAAAATGCACTCTCATGTAAAATTAGAAAATTTAGAGACATTTTTTAGATATCCCTAAACTTAAAAAATATTTAGGTTAATTTCCCTTTTAAAGATGTTAATATTTTAGCACATTTGGTTGGCATGAAATTGATTTTTGGAAAACAATTTCATATGAACAAATTCTGTAAAACGCGAGAATATTTTTACATCAATTAGTTGTGTGAAAAATATTCCCACGTAAAAAATTTTCATATGAAATTGTTTTCCAAAAAACAATTTTATGCCAACCAAACGTGCACGGGCATCCTTCCAATTGCTCGGGCCTATGGATGCCATATTTTTCTATTGGAAATTTCCCACAACATAGAAAACGACGCGTAAATTCCCAAAACATAAAGAGAGCCACACACTTACGGAATCAGTACGTATCGGCCTGGTCCGGCCCTTAATAGCCAAGGTTAGGGCCACTGACTTTGGCCCAAAAGAACAGCCAGATCCAGATTTCTAGGCCCAATGACTTGGCCGAGCTGGGCCTTAGCCAGGGGTCATGGGAACGCCAGGCTCGATGCATTTTGTTTCGTATTTTGCTTTTCATGAATTTTAAAAAAAGAAATGATTCAATTTCTAACTAGACTAAACTTGGCCTACCTATTAGTGCCGGTGCGACAGGCCACCAAGTCTTGGCAGTTTAAGGCCAGTCCAAGCAGGCATAGCCCCCACTGCACCCTTAAAATCTGGTTGGACAGTTACGGTGTGAGCGCAGCCAGCTACATTTAGTAAGACCCACTCTCCGGCCCTTTACCATTCAAACCAATGTTGCTACAGTAGCTTAACCACCTTAAAAAAAAAAAAACGAGAATAAAATCTTCTTTTTCTTTCTGAAACAGTCCTGTTACTCAACCGGGTTTCAACTCTTACACAAAAAGCTTCTCACAATGTGTGTGCCAGAAAATAGCCACTCTCCACAATCCCTTGAACAACTCTCAACTCCATTTAACTTTGATTTCTTTTCTTCCCAAACAGAAGACTATATCAAAAAGGATGCCATAACAGCAAGTACTGCAAAAGATTACGAGGTATCAAATGAATCAGCATTGCCCAGAATTTCTTCCAGCATACGGATAACCTATGTGCTTGTTAGACTCTTGCCGATTGCTCGAGAATAGTAGCTCTAATAACTCATCATTAGATCATCATCTTTCTCAAGTTAGTCTAAAGCTATTTGCCCTTGATTTTGCAGTAGGCATAAAAACCTGAGCCAAGAAACCCAAGGGCTTGTCCGATAACATTTAGCTGCAAGAACAAGACATTGTTGGATGGGTATCAAGAACAGTAAACAATCTAGAAAAAAATAAAAAGAAAAAGAAAAATATATGTTTGACTAACAAAAATAAAATATATTGCTAATGGCAAATGAAGAGCATAGCTTTTCCACAATAGAAGGTTTGAAATCTCAACCACCCATTTGGACAAAACCTTGAATCCTACCTCTTGGCTTCATGTTCGGGCCACAGGGTCAGCACCATTAATTTCCAATGTTTGAATCAAAACGTACCCATCCAGACACTAATGCTACTAATAATTACAAAGTAATAATAAAGATATGATCACTCTAATTACCATTCATGGTAAGTAAATAAATAAATAAATAGGAGCAAGTGTGATACGAACCAGATCAAAAGGCAGTCCACCAAATAACAACCAACCAATTCCAACAGTAAAAAAGTCCTGAAGAAATACACATATCAGGGTGCCAATTAATAAAATCTGCAATAAACAAAGCCTCGAAGAAAATACTACCGAAGACCACCTTTAAATTACCACACATGGTCTGCGTAACAGCAGAGTTGAGTGTTGTGTTAAGAAATATGCTGTAATTCAAGAAAAAAGCCATTATACAAGAAAGCAGCATCACAGCCTGCAAAATATAATGGAGAAAATTTTACCTCCCAAGCCAAAAGAGGAAATGGCTGAACCTTTTATTGAAAAAGAAATGCAAGTAAAAGTTATCAGCTGCAATGCTAGAATGAACTCCCATATAAATGTCAAATAATATGTTCTTTACATTTTGTGTAGAGGCAGATGAACAAATGGAAGCAATAAACAAATAACTGAACCTTAAGAATGTCATGAATTTCAATTCGAATGAAAGGAAATGGAAGTAAAAATGTTTCAAATCGAAAATAATGAGAAAACAAATACTGTTTGGCCTGTCAAATCAAGCAATAGGACATATATCTCCTCATGGAAAAAACATAAAAAGATTAAAATGTAGAGATACACATAAACGTAATGATGAAATTTTAGTATTAATGTCCATCACACATTATTAGTCCTATCATAAGCAACATGAATGTGATTGTAAAATACCTGAAAGCCTGGAGAATATAAATAAGAAAAATTCACTGTTGTCCCCAGTTCACCCCTAAAATACGTCCATAGGAGTAAAATTGGTCCACAAATCAATCCTGAAGGAATACATGCAAATACCCATTACAATAACCTCAATTTAAGACACTGTCAAAATTCCTTAGCAAACAAAAAATCTCAAATTTCATCATATAGATGTTTTTCCTTTCACAACTAAATCATCAATGAGATTTAGAATGGAACACATAAAATTTACCATTGCACCACATAAGACCAAAGCTGTTCAGGCCACTTGATTTCCCTAAGAAAATAGTGAAAAAATAAGACAAAAGTGATGCATGAAACTCACTCCAATTGAACAACAACATATATGAAAGACTGATGGAGGATTAAAACATGACATACCAATGCGGGCTATAGTTGCCAAGTATATAGCAGTAGCTATGTTGGATACCAAAACAATGGCATAGCCATGAAAGTCATATGACAAATCCCGAGCTCCAGCAATAAATGCTCCAAAAACTATAACAGCCACACTGATGAAACCCTTGGTTTTTTGCCAGTAGAAAAGGAATTATAAGAAAGACAACCAAATTGTCAAGAAATCACCAAGGTTCATGTGAACAATGACAAACAAACAATCACTGACATGATATCAAAAATACATAGGATACAATTTCTATTTCCCATATATATATTGTTACAATAGGTTTCCGACATGCAATCAACTCATAACTCGTAAAGACAATTGATGTTGCTTTTTACACAAATTACAACTTCTGATGATCAAATATAGCCAATTGTTGAATCTAGCGACTCAACACAAGATAGCCACACCAATGGCATAATAGAAGAGTAAAAATCAGTGATTTGCAAAGGCCAAATGCTTGAATTCAATAGGTTGTGTGAGACCGAAGGATATTTATTTTACTTCTAGGATGGTCAACAAATTTTCCAAAAACTATGGATACAATTTCCTACTAAGAGATACAACGCTTTCTTTAATTTCTCCTACAATGTTGTTAAAGACACTGTGGAGTCACATTTCGATCAGGTTATTACAAGGGGATTGTATCAATGAGACCATTTACCTTTGGTACAGGGAGGTCAAAATTACTTACAACCATCCGATGTGAAATCTGATAGCTTGGGTGTGTCACAAAGTTCGAGATATTTTTTTTTGAACTTTGAGCTTGATCACAGAAATAAATGCAGCCACCCAATTTCACATCCAATGGTCAAGCTTAATTTTGACTGCCTTGTACCAAAAGTAAATAGTCTCATTATATACTTTCCCTATTAAAAATAAGGCTTCTTCTATTTTTTCAAAAAAAAAAAAGTTCCTTTATATGGTTCCACCGAGCAAAGTGGATACAAAAATATAGAGTCAATATTAGGTTCTGATATTGACAATTGCATAGTACAGAAAGACATCAGGAAGACAAACAAATGTAAAATCTAGAATGTTAATCATGCAAAGGCAACTATATAAATGTCATCGATGCATCTACAAGCTTCTTCTTCTCTTATTTTGTCATATTCTTTAATTTCAAAAGTTTCATCTGAGCTGCATACTGAATTGACCGATGATTGGAATGGTATGATACATATGGAGAGCAAACTCCAGATATACAGGAGACCAATGTTATCCGATGTGTCACATGCGGCCTTTTGGGACACAAATATCATTAATGCTTTTCAAAAATACCCTATCTTCTCTTACTAATATCTGAGCTACGAATCCAGACCCCTGCCAATCCACCATCATCCAAACCGAACTTCCCAATTGCACATACCAAATGTTTTAGCAAGTCTACGTATATAGGTTTTAAGAGTCATACCTTACATATTCATAAAGCTAAGTGACCGTTGACAATAGTTTCTTTTTCTGTACCGTTTCAGTTTTCTAAGTGATCTTGGATGGAACTGTTGCATAGTTTGTAGTATCTAAATTTGCATGGTTTGTGTTACATAAAACCTAAAAAGTGAAAATTATGACATTACTCAAATTCTAGGCCTACATCTCCAGCATGGTTTGTGTTAGTTCAAAGGAAAATAAAATCCAAGAAGTAATCAATTTTTAAATGTGATTTTACCCAAGTCACCTATCCTTTCCATTACATTTTTCTGGTTTTCAATAAATTTCTATTATTCACATGCCATGATTTTCAAATAGGTACCAAATGATTCCAATTTCAAGCTTGGGTTTCATCTGGCCCAAACAGTTTTTCTGCTCCATTTTTTTCTTTGAAACATTCCAAGACAAATCAACACCGATATTAATCATAGAGCTTAACCATTTCATCTATACCTTAAGATGCCATGCACTTGAAAATAAAGAAAAAAAAAACTACCTACCTGGCAATTATAGAAGATGAATACTTCTGTGCAGTAAGAAGATATTCCACAATCATCGTGAACACCACAGTTGTCCTCCTAATAGCAGTGTACATTGGAACATTGATTCCACGTACAGATTCCATTGAGGCCAGCTTCTCAGACACAGTAACAAAGTCAAAACTGGAGACATGTATGACAATAAGAAAGTAGTGCAATCACAATATGACAAAGGAATGGCATGCTATTGCATATATAATTGCTTACCATGTAAAGCAAATAAGATAGAGCAAGAGGCAGAGTGTGAAGCAATGTCTCCATCGGTACAAGGCTCGTGGAGCTGTCAGCAGATGCTGTATATGATTCCCCCATGGTAAATGAAATGATCTTCCACCGCCTCATCACATAAAGAATTGAAGTTGAACAGATCATCTGATAGAAGAGCATAAGAAGACATGCCGGTGATTCATAAGAGCAAGCAAAAAGTTAACAGCACCAGTGACAATGTCACCATGCAATATCTCAATTTTGGTAAATCAAGATGAAACACAAATGATTAAAGAAGCAGAATAAATAGACAGTACTAAAAATTCTTTTCAGAACTGATAACCACTACTAAGATTCAAATGGTACATTGTGGATCGAGTGAAAATAGCACTCCGCTTGCATATAGATTATGGTCTATTTTATTTGTAGTGCTAACAAATCACAACTAGCACAATACATCTTTGCTATTTAGTATAAAATGCGCACTTCAGCAGTTTATTGGATCACACAGAAATGTGTGTGAGCATGCACAGACTCATGCACATGTGTGTGCATGCACATACACATAGACACATGCACACATGCATGCATAGATGCATAAATGCATACACATCATATATATCCAAGACGTCCCTCAAACTCAACCACGAGAACAGATGTTGCCCAAACATCAATATCATTGTGACCGCATTAAGGATTTCCCACCCTTAGAATAATGATCAACTTCAATCAGTTTCATTCCATTACGGAAAACAGATCTGGAAGCAACTAATATGGCCCTAAAATTAGCACGTTTCATGCAAGATGACCATGGAAACACATGTGATAGGATCTCAAAGCGAGTACACGACTGCAGCGCAACACTCATATCTCTGCAATGGACTTGGAAGTAGTCCACCTACAGATAATCATCTCCCAATGTAGATGAAATACTCAAGTAATGAACACAAAGCTGAGGAGATATGGTTATTGGGCATAAATGCATGTTGAATGAAGAACGATAGTGGAGCATTCAATTGGTGAATCAACATCACAGACAATAGAGGCATATGGTTAACAAGATAAAGTCATATTCTCCAAGTATAATTGTATAGATTGTTAGTTTTTGTGGCCTTTAAAGGCTTAGAGAGCTTGTAAAAATGATAATTTATAGTGAAATATACACTTTAGTGGAAGTGTGTGTGTTGACTACCCATGGATTAGGCGGTTTATGACCCTGGTTATGTCCTAAACCCTTATCCTTAAGCATGTGGCACTACCGAGAATGGTTTACAATGAGTCATTCCTTGTTGAAGTTGGAGAGATGCCCAGGGACGATATTTGTAAGCCAAGAGAACTGTGCAGTCTCCTGTGTATGGTTGTAAGCCTGTGAGAGTAAGGGCCAAAGCCTCAACAACCTTCCTCACGGCATGTACACATGACAATCGCAATACTGGGAAGCAGCCCTATAGAAGGACACATATACATGTGCATAGAGAGAGCTCCCTTTGCATTGTGGTGACAAGTATTGGACTTACTCTTAAAAAGGGGACTGAATCCACATTCCATGATCATGGTTTCACTGTTTATTGTCTAACTTGGATAAGTCAATCATGAGCCCCTACATCGAGACTGTGGGTCATAGGTCTTTGTTGGGTTGAACAAGAAAATAATAGTGGATCATGTTCTTGGGTCAAATGAAGTGCTCTTATTGTCATTAATTTTAACCTATTGGTACCAGTCCACTTTTAAAATATTTTATTTTGGAACTACAAATATTTTTATGATTTTTACAAATTTTTCAGAATTTAAATTTTGTTTCTGCTGTAAAATCCTTCAAAAGGGAATTTTCATAATTTTTAAATTTGGAAGGGTACATGTGGGATCAAGACCCACATGTGTGCCACCCATGAGTGGGACCTAGGCCGTTGTGGGGACAACTTAATATCTATTGGGTGGCATACCCTCTTTCTTTTGTTTATGTGACATTTTTGTTTTTTGCTAAAGGTCATTTTAGGGGGATCATTTAAATATTAAAATATTGTTTTAATTAGGAGTTTGGTTTGACCAAAACTCTAATTATTTTGACTTCTTATAGATTTTCGAAAGATAAGTATGGAGTTTTAGATTGGTTAGAATTCTAATTTAAATAGAAGTTGGACGTAGGTCAAATTATAAGGGGATAAGGTCCCTAATAATCCTCCCAAAACTCATGATAGCTGATCTGTGGGTTCGATGCCTCAGTTTGTTCTCTCTCACCACCTAGATTTCCTACATTCCTATTGGTCAAGCTGTGTCATTGGATAGCAATACATAAGGAAGGAATTCTAATCCGAAAAGAAGAAATTATTTCTATTTAAACACCATTGAGCCCATCTCTCAAGACACATATTTCACTCTCCTCCATGCACCAAGTCTCTCTCTCTTTCATTAAAAAATCAATTTTCTCTCTCCCCCCCTCCAAAAAGGGTAATGCCACCCAAAATTTGATAAGACAAGGGTGGGACATTGAAACCCAATTAGGATTGCTCTGTTTGGAGACGAAACAGGGGTATGCCCAGCCATAGGAGGTATCTATGCCTTCAAGCCCAGCCCTAATTTGTTGCTTAGGCTTCCTACAAATCCTATTTAGGTTTTCATGCTCTCTAAAACCCTAGTGGAAGAGATATTGCCCAAAAAAACTTTCCATTTCTGAAATTCCAGCAAGATCAAAAGGGACAAAAGTGTGCCATCAGTCAAGGAATCGGGTGTGGGGTGGATGAAGAACTGTGAGGGTAACTCCAGGTACCTTCTAGTATGTCTTCCAAGTAGATATAATTATTTTTCAGTCTTATTTCATATTTTTCTGTGATATATTGTATTCAAAACTATAGTGGAAGATTGTTTATTGCTCCTTGATGGTTTTTATTTGCTTTGGCAGTAAAAGTAAAGATCCTTGGTTGTATTTAAAGTTTTAAATTTAATTTACAATAGTGTATAGTAGCCCATGTAAGTGGAATTCAAGTAAAAAAAATAAAATAAATTTTCTTTCATTCGAGTCTAGAAACATGACATCAACAAGTTTCTTCGATGAGTTTATTAAGTCTGAAGATTTGATGGGAAGAACTATGCCAGTTGGAAGAGAAAAATAGGCTATGTCCTCTTCGAAGGACTTCGCCAGATGCTTACTGATGACCCCCACGTGCCCCAGGAGGTAATATCTATGAAAGGCAGTCTATAAGAGATGGTTATGCTTAGTGGGAGCACAAAAGCACTCAAGCAAAATATATTCTACTTATGGCCATGGATGCACCCATGCTCTCGAGTATGAGTACCTGAAGACTGCAAAGAAAATTCATGAAAGTCTTGAGATTGAGTATGCCTCTCCTCTCACTACCAAACATATGGCTATGAAACAATATTCAGACTTGAAGATGAAGGATGGAGGCAAATTAACCGAACATATACAGCAGTTTAGAGCTTTACTTTATGAACTCGAGGCTGCACAAGTTAAGCTGGATGAAAACATGCAAATCTACCAGTTGCTAAATTCTATGTTGGGCTCATGGGAAAGCTTTATTTCAGGCCTTACCGCATGAGAGAGCATGCCAAAGTGGGACAGATCATCACCAAACTTAAAGCCGAAGAAGAAAAGAGATTGTCTCGCACTACTTCATCCTTGAATGACTCCATAAATCTAGTAAACCTTAAACCTAACTCTAGTTCATTCAAGAAGAAGAAAGGCAAAGGCAAGATTAAGAACAAAACCAATGAGAATCAAAAGGGGAATAATAGGCCTAAGAAAAGGAAGGACTTAAATAATACCCAATGCTATAACTGCAAGAAGTTTGGCACATTGTGAAGTATTGTAGAGAATATGAATCCCAAGGGCGATAGGAAGCATGTTTGTGTGGTCCTTAAGACCATGCTAATTGATCCTAAAGTGGGGCCATGGTGTTTTGACTCTGGGTCCACTGCCCATGTGTCAAACACAAAGGACGGGTATAGAAATTTTAACCATGTTGCCCCTGGGGATCAGTATTTCTATATGGGTGTGAATCAAAAGACTGAAATTATAGGTATTCGAGACTTTGTCCTTCAACTTGAGAAAGGCAAAAGTATGGTCCTCAAGCAAACTATTTATGCTAATGAGATGAGGAAGAATTTGGTTTCGGTCGCTAAATTGGCTAAGGCAGGCCACTCTACCATTTTTATTGGTAATAAGGAGGAAGTGAAATACAGAAATGAATTAGTCATGAATGGTCATCTAATAGATGGTTTCTTTCAGTTGCAACAAAGAATTCCCTTTCTTACGCCTCGTGTTGTGAAGATGACAACGATGATGCGTATATATAGCACATGAGACTAGGGGGCACATAAATCCTAGAAGGATGGAGAGATTAAAGAGAGAGGGCTTATTAAATAAATCTAAATGGAGACTTAACTAGAGTATATGAATCATGTGCTCAAGGAAAGCTAGTTAAGAAATCCTTTGCGAAAGCTCAAAGAGCTACTGGCATATTAGTAGTTATCCATAGTGATATTTGTGGACCTATGAATGAGGTCACTATGGGCCGCAAGAGGTACTTTATCACTTGTATTGATGATCACTTCTGTTTTGGCCATGTCTATCTAGTAAGTGAAAAATTTGCAGCCCTAGACCATTTGAAAGACTATAATGCCGATGTAGAAACCCAAACAAACCAGAAAATTAAAGTCCTTAGATCCGACAAGGGTGGAAAATATTCCTCACGACTATTTAAAGAATTATGTAATGAGCATGGTATTATGCATCAATACACTATGCCGTACACTCTGCAGCAAAATGGGGTAGCTGTGAATCAAGAGTATGACCTTAATGGAAATGGTGTGGAGCATGATGGGACATGTTAAACTCTCCCTAGATTTTTTGGGAGAAGCTGTTTGACAGCCAATTATATCCTTAATCGAAGTCCCACAACAGTTGTTCCACTAACTCCTCATTAGATTTTCACTAGTCGTGCTCCCTCCCTTGATCACCTCAAATTGTGGGGATGCTCTGCCCATGTCCTAATATCCCATCAAAACAGGACAAAATTAGATCCTACAACTATTAAGTCCATCTTCATAGGATACCCACCACATGGTAAGGGACACCATTTATATAATCCTAACAAAGGTGTCCTTGAGAGTAGGGGGGGGCACTTCTTCCTCAAGGGTCATGCCAC